GAATAAAAGCTATAGGTTCTCGGTGAGCTGGTGGTTTCGATCTCGCCATACACTGTCCCCTTCTTTTAGGGCTGCGTCCACGGAGCCACCGCAAGACCGCCCTCTGCCGGTACTTTGACTTCGCATACCACCGGTGGTGTGTCTACCTGCCTTGTCTGCTCCAGATCGCTGGTGCAGCGTTTAAGGCGATTAGTGTGGACCACCGTTAATTGATGTTNNNTAGCCCGCGAATCGCACAGTTCGTTTCGTTGATCAGGCGTTCTATCACTTAAGGCCCTTTCCAGGGGCTGGCGAATTTTCTCCTACTGGTTGTATCTTCAACCAAACCTAGTCACCCGCTGCAAAAAGGACGGCGTGTGTCTTTTAATCATAGTAGTCATTTTGTCGTCTCTGCGCGATTCCGAGGTGTTTGCGTGCCAGCAACTCGCACCTTCAGATTGTCTCCCTTAGCTGCACTATGTATTCCTTTACGTTAGGATACACGTCACCTGTAGATGGTAGCCTCAGATCGGATGGCAACCTCATCTCCTGGCCCATCCATAGCAAGCTAGGCGTTTGTCCGGTAGACGCGTGGATTGAAGCGCGTTACGCCATCAGGCACGGCTCCAACTTAATGTTCCAATCCCTCTTGTTCTCCACAAACGTGAAGCGGTATCCACCGCTAGTCGGTCCTTGATGAGGCCTTGGCCCCCACTGNCTGTCTCCGGATTGGTTCTCGCTGCTGACGTCGTTGGTGATGCACGGCCACGCAAAGGCTCTCTACTCCATGAACGACTCTCTGTAGTCTCTCCGTTTCTCCTGCCAGATCAACAGCTTCGCTGAGGCTTTTAGGCGATTTTGTAATCAGCGCTTTATTCAGTGACGCACTACTGACTCCTTCTACAAAACGTTCCACAGCACGCTTATCCTGGGCTTTGCTGTTGTCGTCGGGAAAAGCCTTGGACACCAGTTGCTTGACGCGATACGCGTATGCATCTACGGTCTCCCCGATGTTCTGGCGTGCCGAGTGGAGTTGTGACCGGTACTCGATTGGGTGGAGTGGAGTATCACGGAGGCATTGCAGTTTTCGAAAAACCCCATCCAGATCCTCCTCCTCGAATGCACTCGCCTGAAAGGCCCCATCGGTCGATTCACTAGCCAACAGGCCTAAAATTGCCATTTTCCTTTCCGACTCGGGAAACTTCTGCACGTAAGCACGCACCTGCACTTCCCAACAAGCATAATTTTCGACGATGGTGAACTTTTCGGGTGACGGGAGTGGTGGGACTGTCTCCAATCGGAACGAGTCGCCGGTGGTAAGTTTTGACAAAAATTGGCTGATCATTTCGCTGACGCCCGTCGTGGCGCTAGATTCTGACTGCATGTCTTCAGGCCGCTCGGGCTTTTCTTCTTGATCCTTGCCGTTTTGCTTCTTGGTTGATCCTGCNCCACGACACCATTTGTAGCTTGAGGTCAGAAGACGTTTTTAGGCAGTATAATTCAATTGGTAACACACTACAAGGTAACAATATAAAAATAATGGCCAAACAGGGATTTGTAGTTTGCGTGAGTTGCGAGTTCACGGAGTTCTCCTTGTCCGTATTAATATTAACATTTAAACGGTCTTAAATAGAGGTAACGTATTGTGTCACAGTTTGTTGTGGGCACACGTGTTAGCAATAACAATAATAGCAATGGCAAGTCAAATGTTGGGCAGGGAGCATAACACAAATAATGGTAATAGGTTCTAGGTGAGCTGGTGGTTTCGGTCCCTCCATATAGGTCAGATGATACCAGTAAAAATAAAAATAAGATGCAACACTAGAGCTAACTACTGCGCCTAAAAAGTCTATACAACGAAATAAAATATCCTAGAAACTAACCACGACAAAAACTTGAACACTCAAAGAGCCTCTGTCAAAGCTGTTTCAGGCATCTCTAGATAAAAGCGAGATACCGCGAGATTGAAAAAGAGCGACGATAGATGCTCTGCATAAATCTGGGTCAGAGTAAAAGACCGAAAACTACAGACCAGTAAGTCTGATGTTGGTCCTATGCCAATGCCTAGAAAGGATTTTACGTAAGCATATGGCTGCGTACTTTGTAGGGCATGAGGTACTAAC